AAATTTATCGATTATTTTGATGTTTGATCACATTTCCCTTGAGAAAGCTTGAACCAGATTGTCAGGTGAAACGTTGGATTTATTTCAAATTCATTCGCTGAGATACATTCTTCCTCCTTAATGTCTCACATCAACTAGGCGCTTAAATACTGTCAAACCATTAGATCAAATTTAGACGGAAGTTCTTGTTTTAAGATCTGTTTAGTTTAATCAAGTTAAGATTTTTATGAAAACTGGTTGTCTGGCGAAAAGTGAATATATCTTGTTATTTGTAATGGTTTGGATGATCCTGTCTTTTTTAAAATTTTAGGTAGCTTTATATAACTGATGAGCATCTTCTGAAGATTGATTCGATGTAGCCATTATATCAAAATTTTCTATTAAACTGATGGAACGTGTCTAACAGCGGAATTCAGAGAGTGAGTTTCGTTGTAATTTAAACTTACCAAATGAGTGTGTGTGTTTGAATTCAAGTATTGATGTTTGGGCTGGTATTAAATTTTATCACCTTTAGTTTACAACACTCAACTGATTGTACATTGAGCTATTGAGTTCAAATAGACTCTAACTTGTATAATGTGTGTAAGTTCTACCATAACTCAATCGACTGTCGATTTCTTTAACTTTATATAAACTGATACAGAAGTTCACATTTCAAACTAATTTCATAGTTGATATCATGAGTCAATTGAAGCTAGGCTAATATGAATAACCTGGAAGCATTAGACGGCTGTTTCGTTCTATTGTGTGACTCTTCAGAAGTGTTCACGCACGATATCCCCTCACGAGTTTCAAACCTAGGATCTATCAGTTTTGCGCGTGAATGCTTATCCTCGAGACCACTAAGTTGACATCTAACAGCGTTAATATCTTACTTCAACTAATCCACAAAATAGAGCAACATATCCACATTCCATAGTGATCTAGCTTCAATTGACTTATGATCTCAACTATTAAAACTACTATAATATTCACAAAAACCTCTATTGATAATCATTTCATAGTCACTTTAAACAAAATCATTCTGTTAAGAAAGAAAAAAAAGGGTGATATCTATTTCAAAGTATTAATTTATTGCTTTATTTAGTTTACAAAATTACAAGGTAAATTTTATTATTGTTCAGATAGTTTTTATTTCATATTTCATATATTTCTTTAATTTTATATTAACACTTAATGAATACATGTATATATATATATATATATATATATCTTTATTCCCTTTAAACAGCCCACAATGAATCAACAATAATAAGTACGTAAATTAAAAATCACAATGATTATTAATTTCTTTTGTTACTAGTCTGAAAAATGATAGACAAATATGTTTTTTTCGTCGTTTTCTTTTTTATTCTTTTTTTTTTAAAGAAAAAACCACAGAATATACATTGAGACAAATAAAAATTGTCTTAAATGTTCATGTTCTATAATCAATGATATTTTTATTACTTTTTATATAATAATAAAACTATTGTATCAAGTATAGTTGATATAGGGAACAAAAAGAAAAAAACCGGAATAAACAAAATTTTTACTTTATAAACCATGACAATTAGTTTCAACATTAAATAATGAGTATTAATTATTAATTATCAATCATAATAATAATCTTTGTACTTTATCTTATATTGACAATTGCTCTTTTTGTAATGTATAAGTAGGTTGTTATTATTATTATTTTTTTTAATTTTTTTATTTTTTTCATTTTTTTTTCAATTTCACAATTAAAAACAAATGGAAAGCGGAATATTTTTCTTTTATTAAAATATGATTGGTCATCTCTAAGGGAGAAGCAAAATCATAGTTGTTTATTATAATAATGATAATAATAATAATAAATAAATAAATAAAGTAACTATTCTATGATATGAAAAAAGAATATTTCCCTAATTAACCAATCATAAAATTTGACAAAACTATATAAATATGTCTAGTGTATATTTAATGTAATATCATGCATAACGTGATATCATAACTCTATATAGATATATAGATATTTACATAGACGACTTATATTCATAAAGTGAAGTTCATTTTTCTACTCATTTTTCCCTATAAAACATCTAATTGTTTCATTTATTTCTTTCATTCATCATAAAACTATTTGTTTATTATTTAATCATTATAAAAGAAATTCTTTAAAAGAGAAAAGAAAGCGAGAAAAAAAGAAAGAAAACAAAACAAATACAATCACTGTAAGATTATTTATACTGTATGTATATACACATATATATACAGAGTTTATTCATCAATATGAAACAAATCATTGAAATTATCACTTTTCTAATTTTATGTTCAATGGCTGAATATATGCCAGTTGGTCAAAGTGTTTCATTAAAACAGGTTAGTGATTATATTTATTATTATATAGTAATTTTTATCCTAATTTTATGTTTTATCATTTGCTTATTATTATCAAAGTCAAATATTTATTAATTTACTGTCAATAGGTGATTCTTATGGTATTTTATATTTATTCTGTTGAATAGGTAGACGTTTTTACAAGATCTTGTTTTCTAATATTTACTCGAAAGAAAATGTGTACGCGCACATTTCAAATGACTATTTGTCAAAGTAAATAGTTCCTTTTCTATTGGTATAGATAAATATATATATATATGTATGTAATTCTGACCATTTGAAACGTATTGAATTCCGTTTAGCTTCTAAAAGTTTACTAAGTCAACTAGATTACACAACTCTTAATTATGTTACGATATGTTTTAAAATGTCTAATTGTTCATAATTGTAGTTTAAGCAAAAGAAAAAAAAACAGGAGATCTGTTAATCACTAAATGCTTAAGGTTGCAATCTCCAAACTTTCATTTAGAATAAATGTTTGCATAATTTTATTGCAACAATGTCCAAGAAAATGAAAGCTGAATTTATTGATGTTGCTTTATTCGATTTCGTTCCACGCATATATATATATACCTTAAAGAATATGATGATGTGGGATCTACTGTTTACTGTTCCTGAATATTCAGTCCCAATCGATTATTTTATTCTTTTCTATGCTTTTGACATTTGTAACCATTAAACCATAAAAATAAAAGTTTTTTTTCTTCAAGTGCATATATATAATGATAAAATTTGTCAAGTACAAAATAAATTTACACTTATGTAAAAGTATCAGGAATGAAGTATTTTCTCGAAAAAAATGCCAACTATTTGTAAATAAATAAATAAATAAATAAATTCTCTATTTTTCGTAAACAAATAAACAATATTTTCTTCTCTAAATTAATCAATTCTTAGGCAATTAGGTGTACAATACAGATATACGTATATTGTTTTCGAATAGGATATTTTAAGGAAACTTAAATATTTCCGCTTATCTAAATGAAAAGAGTAAAATTTGGCAAATTCATCTATATACATAATGATATATTGAGATGTATTATTAATAATGACTTTATTCAGTTTATTTAATATATAGAATTCTTAGCACAAAGTACTTCATCAAGTTTGCTCTCTTTATTTCTTCATCTATTCTGATGAGTTTACCACTAGTTAGATGTTAGCAGTTCAAGAATTGAAATCTGAACAATAATCATTCTTTTCAATGCATATTAACATCCAACAAAATGTATGTTTTACAGTGAAAGATTGTAAACGTTTCATAAACACGCCTAAATAGGTTATGCAAGTAAGAGACATAATGATGTGTTAAAACAAACAAAAGATAAGTAACTTATTGAGATATGTTGATATCGAAAACAGATATTCAAGCAAACTGATAAATTATATTCTATGTAATTAACATTGAATTGACAAGTCAATGACTGGATCAAATCCATAATTTGGATTTCATCGGTACTTATTATTTATAGCATCAACAAATATTTAAAATTCCACAATTCAATATATATTATCATCTATATGAAAATTTATGTATATAAATAATAATTATTGTTTTATACATAACAGAATCTAAACAAGACGTTTACCGTTGAAAAGTAAACAAACAAAAAAATGAAGATAAAGGTTACTTTACATTGTTTACTACTAAGTGGTTAATACCATAGTTACAAGTAGAATATCAATGATAAAAAAGTTTGTTAAAACTTTATACACCCACCATATATTCAGTATAAAGTTTCTTTTTTATTTTTATTTTTTTTTAATTCAAATAATTTCAAATAACATATTTAATGAAAAATTGAAAAAAGCAATTATAAAATAAATTGAACCTTAAACAATGTAGAGTTTAGCAAACAAGCCAACTATTTTCAAATTGTTCTCTATTAGAGTTTATTAATGTATCCATAGGTCAGTCGAAGCTCGTACACCATGGAAAACATGAAAGCATTGGGTGTCCGTTTCGTCCTAGTGTGGGACTTTTCACCAGTACATATCCACGATCCCGTCCCTCCCCGCAAGATTAGAACACAGGACCTATCAGTCTCGCGCCAGGCGCTTAACTAACTAGACAACTGAACCGGCCGGTATCCAACAGTGTTAATATCTAATTTCAACTAATCCACGAAATTGCACCACGGTACACCATTGTCTTCAGTGAGTTGATATCTCACAACAGACCTTGTTGAATTCCACTGGTAACGGCTTTTCACTAGAACTCCAGGAGTATCTCTTGACGTCATTCACTAGTGAGCAGATGATTATTATCAGAAGGGGTTTTGTGGAGACGAAACGGCTGTCCAGTGCTTTCAGCTTTTCCATGATGGTCCACCTTCAACTGACTCATGATTTCAATCAGTGAAATTTCTAAAATCTTCACAAAACCTCTTCGGATAGATGTTTAAAAAATTTTTTTCGAAAAAAAATTTTTATTTTATTATATTAAATTACTTTTAACTATACACATGGAAATTATTAATTAAAAAAGATGGGAATTGAAAAAGAATATTAAAACGTAGTTTGAATTGAATATATTCAAAGAGTCTTATTCAAGTTATGAAAATGAAAATGAAAATTTAATTTAATAATATAAATTTCCAAGAAGGTAAATGAAGTGAAATGAAGCATTTTGAATATATTAAAACTAATGAAATTTAATTACGTTGTTCATATATATATATATTCTTTCATAACCTTCATTGAAATTCTATCCTTATCATACTGGTACTATTTACTATACATCATTACTTTAAGTTATACAAGAAAAAGATAATACATTTAGAAAGGAAGACATTTTATAGATGTGTATTGAGTTCTATGTAGTGAATATGATATAGTTCAATGAAACAAAAGAATATGAGTTAATCTTCGTTTACTCATCGAATAATTAATGATTGGAACACATTACCTGAATAAATGGTATCAACTTCATGGATGAACACTTTCAATGAAAAATTAATCTTATCTTAGAAAATATTCTATAAATATGAACATAGATCGATAGACCTAATATTCTCTATGCTAATGATCGAATAAAGATTTAAGAGGATTATTCATTAAATAATCATAATAATACGACTTCATAACTATAATATTTATCTAATTCGATATTCTTGTTTTTATTATCAATTTAGTGTTTTCAGTATTGATATTATCTGTATGACTTTAATTTTCTTTTTGTTGTTGAAAGAAAACATAAATGTCAAACATTCTGTCTCATTCATAAGTTGTTCATTTAAAATTGTAATAGCTCATTTGATGTTGTTTATTGAAAACGATAATCTAGCGAATAATAATTATCACTGATAATCTATTCACATTAATATTTATTATTTTGCTTGATCAAATTTATGAATAATTTACGATCGAAATTATAAGAAAAAAATACACATATCACCATGGTAAATTATTATTGATTTATTGATTTATTCCCCCCCCCCACAAAGAAAAGATATTCTGCTTTAATACACTGTGAAACAATAAGAATTGGTTTTGAACAGTCACTTTTGTGTTAGAAATAATGAAAAAGAAATTTGTCTCGAGTTTTCATTCAGTTTAAATAGTTTGAGTTGATGAAGTGTAGGTTGCTAATTATGTCTTATTAGAAAGTTGTCAGTTGCATTTGTTAGTATTTCACTGTTAATGTTCAAAATTGTATCAGAACCTAGGAGTTTTCGCTTCATCATTAAGTTACCAATTAGGCATTCAACTGTTCAGGGATATAAATTCTCTTTGTAATTGTTTGCATTTTTTTTGAGCTGTTGATGTTGACGATTGTAATTTATCAATCTCTTTTAGTATGTGTACATGGTGATTGAATCGTCTCAATATTGCCATTTAATCACATGTTCTCTATTAAAGTGGAATAATGGCTATGATTCGAATACGAATCCTACCAAATCATGAAACAATAATAGTCTATTTGAACATTCGTAACATTCATAATCACTTCATTACTGAAACAGACGATATTAATGAAGTTTCCAAATAAACTTCATATCCATCGCACAAGGTAGTGTCTATTCGAAGTCTGCTAATACGAAAAACATCAATAAAGATAATGTAAATTAATATTTTATTCTAATTGTTAAAAACTGAATAATATTCGTCTTATTTAGCGGTATGGGTAATATAAAACTGAAAAATATTATTATTACTCTAACGGCAACTTCTGTTTAATACTACATCGTAGCAGTTTCAAAATGGAAAATGGATCACGGTTGACATGAACAAATGTACTAAAATAATGCTGTAGAAAGTTTTACAACTTCATTTATTCATAATGTTCTTGTAAAGAATAACTGCCAATATGCTATTTGGCTCTTACTTCTTTGAAATTTATATTAATAAACCTTAAAATATAGTCGACTTTGTTTGGTAAATCATATTTGTTTGCATTAATATTGATGTACTTATTAAGTAATGATAATCAGAGACAGTCTGTAAACTTTGGTTATATGTATGATAGAAATTATGACTAGTTGAAAAGAGCTTTGACCATCAAAAGTCTCATTTCTTACACAAAATTTAAGTGTTCATCAGCTATTTTAGTAAACATAACATTACTTTGAATTCATTGTTTTGTTGTTTTTGTATAAGATTATTCCCCTTATGGATCTTAAGAAATGATTCTATTTGTTTTCTCTTCTTTTTTTTCTTTCAAACTCTAGTTTGATCCAGATAATGAAGCACTTATTAATGAATATTTTTCATCAGAAAAAGTCGATGAAGCTGCTGAACATTGTTTACGTTTAATTGGTAGTAAAACAATTGTATCACATAATAATCATAATTATAATAATGATGAAAATAATTTAAGTTATACAGCACGTAAATTAAAATGGAGACATTGTATTCTTAAAGAATTAGATCGTATTAATCGTGGTTTATTTACATGGAATATTGGTTCATTATTTAATTATCATAAAGATATGAATACGGTAGAATAAATTCAATAAATAGATCATTATTAAACAAATTCAAACATCAAAAAAAAAAAGAAAAACCATAGAAACCAAAATACTTTAAAAGAGACTATATTTCTTTTTTCAACCTCAAAAACAACAATAATAATAATCATAATAAATGAAGATACTACTTGTAAAATTGTAATGAATTTTATACCTGATAAATATTATTCTATATAAATTTTTTGTTGTTTTCTTTCTTTCTACTATTTACTCATACACAATAATAATAATATTGATATAAACAAAATATTTACATTTTATTTTATACTTCCCCCCCCATTCCATTTTATTGATTATTAAGTATCTAAGTTAAATATTTTGTCACCTTTTTGTTTACTTGAAGAATAAAAAAGATCCAATAAATCATTGATCATAATTAGGAATAATAAGTAGCTCTTTATGAAATATTCATATGACTAAAAATTATCTAAAATCTTATAAATTGAATAATAGAACAACAAATAGTTTAACATCACAAGATCAAATCGGTGTATCTTAATTGATTCATAAATCTATTCATATAGTTTTTTATAAGCTTTCAGTTTATCATATCCAATTAGTTTACATATAGTTTCTCTTGTCATAACATTCAACTCATTATACATTACCTATAGAGATAATAATTTTAATTCATTTGTGTAAATAACCTTTCTATATAGTTTAATTTAGATGCAGATATATATATATATATAACTCATGGTAATAAATATTAAATTTTATGTAGATATTAGAAAAAAGTCCAAAAACTAAAAGTCAAATAATTGGAACTCGAAGAAAAAAAAAGTGATTCAACTAGACACATCTCGTGATTTTTCACCGAATCACCTCCCTTTCGTACGCGTAACAATTGTTTATTTTGTCTATAGTCGTCACTTATACAAAGGAAATTATAAATGTTACATATATATCTATCTATATCTATCTATCTATCGGTTAACTGCATTTATAAAAAGACTGTAAACCTATTCACTTACAAAGTATATCCATTAATCAGATCTCTTTAAGGAAATGTCCATATATAAACATATTTCTTCGGATAAAATTATTATAGAAAAGAGAAATTATATAACAAAATGTTATATATTTAAGACACTTAATTATAGACATTTAGCATATGGTATAAATTTCTCCTTTTTTAGTATTAAGATGAATGAAAAAAAAGATTTATAATAATAATAATAATCATAATAATGAACTGATCTACCACACGGATGACTAAATAGTAGAAGAACACGTGCCATAGATGAAGTAGATTGAAAGAGAGAGAGAAAAAAAAAGAAAGAATCAGAGAAACAAACAACAAAACAACGAATTAAGTAATGAATAAAAAGAAATAATAATTAATTTGTTTTAATGTATAAATTTAATATTTTTTAGATTAATAGAAAATCATAGAATTACGGTTAATTATTTATTTTTATAGTAATTTACATTGATTTAAATACATATAGAAAAAGTTATTATTATTATTATTATTATTATTATTAGGGGTTTTGTGGAGAGTTTCAGAAATTTCACAGATTGAAATCATGAGTCAATTGAAGCTAGACCACCATGGAAAACCTGGAAGCACTAGACGGCCGTTTCGTCCCATTACGGGACTCCTCACCAGTGCGCATTCATGATCCCGCCCTTCGCGAGATTGGAACACAGGACCTATCAATCTCGCGCCACACGCTTAACAAACTAAACCACTGAGCCGACATCCAATGGTGTTATTGTCTAATTTCAACTAATCCACGAAGTTGCGCTACCGTATACCATTGTCTTCAGTGAGTTGATATCTCACAACAGACCTTGTTGAATTCCACTGGTAACGGCTTTTCACGAGAACTCCAGGAGTATCTCTTGACGTCATTCACTAGTGAGCAGATGATGATTATCAGAATGGGTTTTGAGGAGATTTTAGAAATTTCACTGCTGTATCATATAATTATAGTTAATTATTTATTCTTATATTAATTTATACTAAGTTAAATAGAAATAGAAAAAGTTATTATTATTATTGTTGTTTACATAAATGTGTAGTTTAATGTTTATGATGATAAACGATTTTTAGATTTTTTACATCATTTCGTGCATGAGAATAATAAGTCCTGGGTTCGAATCTCACGAGACGGGATCATGGATGGGCACTGTTGAGTAGTCTTACAATAGGACGAAACGGCAATTCAGTGCTTTCAGGTTTACCGAGATGGTATAGCTTTAATTGACTCATGATCTCAACTATTGAAATGAATATGAATATTGTTTGACTTTATGACTAAATTGGTACACTATGAAATTGGATAATATTGTTAATTAAGATTGATTATCGTAATTTATAATTACAATTATGAGTAACATTCATTGTTTGCTTCTATCAGATTGATGGAAAAAGGGTCCGTTGATTTATATGTATTATATTAACATTACTATTATAAAAAATAACTTCACTTGGTATTGTTAACTTGAATCTTCTCTTTGATGGTTACGACTATAATTGACCAGTTCTCCTTGACATATGTCCATTCCGCGTGGATTGCCTCGATATCTTCTTAATTCACAAACATTATAAGCAAAGATGGTTATTGACTAGCAGTGAAATCCAGGAATTTATTTTAAATGTTAGCGAAAAATCCTTATATTCTTGAAATAATACAGGTTATTGAATGAGTTATCTTTACAGATAGAAACAACATATATTATGAAGATGGTTTACTTGATGAACTGATTTCAGTTAGACAATAAATGAACAATACTGATCACTAAATCTCGTAATTGTTATAGTTTTTGTATGTACACAATTAGTTGATCAGGTTTTCAATAGGATTCAAACTTTTCAATCATATAGTGAATTTTTAATTTAACATAAAATAATCCATATTTTATACTTCAGTCAGTTTTCAACATCATGTGAATGATAAATAAAGATGAAACTTAGATATAAAGGCCGTTTTTGACCATGTGCCAATGTCTGTTTGATATTAGTTTAAGAACTATACATAATTTATACTTTTAGCATGTAGAATTTGTCAATTCTTCTTGTGTGTACCCGGTTGTTAAGATGACATGAGATACTGAAAAAAGTCTTTATAAAAATTGCTTGAAAAACCGATATTATTTTAAAAAGTAACTATTTAATTTTAGCTCTTACAAAATGGTTTTATTCATTCACATATAAATGTCTTTTATTTATATGCTTAGAAATGTGTTATGTATAGGAACTCAAAAAAGAAAGGGTTAATACTATCACTTACTTACGCCTTTTACTCCCAATGGTGCATAGGCCGCCTACCAGCATTCTCCAACCCACTCTGTCCTGGGCCTTCTTTTCTAATTCCATCCAATTCTTGTTCATTTTTCTCATGTCTATCTCCATTTCCTGGAGTAATGTGTTTTTTGGTCTTCCTCTTTTCCTTTGGCCTTGAGGATTCCATGTGAGGGCTTGTCTTGTGACGCAGTTGGGTGCTTTCCTCAATGTGTGTCCTATCCACTTCCAGCACTTCTTCCTGATTTCTTCCTCCGCTGGGATCTGGTTTGTTCTCTCCCACAGTTGGTTGTTGCTAATAGTGTCTGGCCGACGGATCTGAAGTATTTTGCGTAGACAACTGCTAATAAACACTTGTATTTTCTGGATGATGGCTTTCGTAGTTCTCCAGGTTTCTGCTCCATACAGTAGATCTGTCTTAACATTTGTATTGAAAATCCTGACCTTGGTGTTGGTTGACAGTTGTTTTGAGTTCCAGATGTTCTTCAGTTGTAAATGGTTATTACCATACATAACATAAAATCAAATCTATTCTATCATAATTTATAATATTGTTTGCTTCTATTTATAGCTCAGTTTTACACTTCTACCCTCATTTCTATTACATATTAACAACAAGTGGATGTTTTAAATTTTAAATTTATCTAAAAAAAAATAATTATGAATTATTTATTGTAGTTACTAAGTTCAAATTACACGGGTTGTTTTTTTTCTCTCAGCGATAATAAAACTACAAATGCTCACTATTATGCAGCATTAAATTATTCAGATAATTTGATATTTTTCTTTGTTTAAATCGATATAAGCAATTTTTCAATCTTAATGAAATGGTTATCAATGTACATACAAAGAAGGCGAAATACTACAATATCATCATATAGATCTTGTAAATGTTTAGATCAGGATAATGGAAATCCTATAAGGTGATTTTTGTTTCAATGAGACAGTGTTGAAACCATACTTGATAGTTAATTATCTTCAATCGATTTCTGACCTTCTTTTTTAAAAAAAACCGGCTTGTCAATAATATCTGGAATTAGATACACTTTAGCACTTGCCTGTCACCTTAGGAAAAGTTTGGTTAGAAATAAATTCATTATCCCAAGAATTTTTTCTGTTAAAGGAACACTGAGTTTTATTATATATGGAGGATAATGATTATTGGTAGTAATCATTGATTCATTCAGACACTACTAATCATTGTGGTGAGAACTCGAGACATCTTCTCTGGATTTGTGGTGACTTGTCTACTCGATATGATGTCACTTTCCAGGAAAAGATCATATTCAACATTGTTAAAACAAGATATTTTAACGTATCGGTTAGACGTATATACTATTTGAATTCATGAGTCGATTAAAGCTATATCACCTTGGAAAACATGGAAGCACTAGACGGTCGTTTCGTCCCAGTATGGGACTATTCAGAAGTGTGCATTCACAATCCCACTCATGGGATTAAAATTCAAGATTTTCGGTCTCGCGCTCGAACGCTTAACCTCTAGACCACTGAGCTGGAATCTAACGGTGTTAATGTCTCACTTCAACCAACCCACGAAATTGTGCCACCGTCCACCATTGTCTTCAATGAGTTACTGCTTCGCACTAGACACGGCTTTTTACTATAGCTCCAGGAAATACTTCTTGAAGCGTGCTAGTTCGAAAATCTTGGGTTGTAATTTCACGAGCGGGGTCGTTGGTGCGCACTACTGAGTAGTCCCATACTAGAACGAAACGACCTTCTAGTGTTTCCAAGTTTTCCATGATGGTCTACCTTTAATCGACCCACCAATTCAATTATTAAATTTCTACAATCTCCATAAAACCATTTTCTAAAAGTATACATATCGAAATAGCTATTGTATTGGATCGATCACTATATGTTTACCAGCTAGCAGAACTATGCTATGTTTTCTTTGTTACGAAATGACTTTGCTAAGCATTTAAATATTTTTTACAGTTGTAATGGGAATTAATTGGAGTTGTTTTAATTGTTTGTTTTCATTTGAACTATTCAGTTCACCATTAAATTTGATTGAATAATCTTAAATTCCTTCTATATTTTTAGCAAGCTATTGAGTAAAGAGAATCATAGATGAAGGTTTTTCTATTAGCTGTTCGCTTGTATTCATAATTACTGCACTTCATTATGACTGTTAATGGTGTCCGCTCGTACCGCTTTTAAACTACAAACAAATAGGATCTAACTCACTACATTTGAACTCAGTACTTCTGAGGACCACATTCAGGCGTTTATAATGATTGAATGCGTACAGTCAAATATGTTCGCTATCATCTGTTCTATCAAAATCAAGTTATCCCTAAAACTCTGTGCACTGGACCTGCGTCACCATGCTTTTTTAGGAGTGTATTTGTTATTATTCAGAGATATATTCTTTATTAAGAGTTGTTCTCATCATAAAAACTATCGGAGAATCGTAAATCCACAGTTTTTTGGTACTATTTACTTTTGACTTGGATGTTCGACTGTAACATTAAGACGAGCATCTATTAATGGCTTCAACGTCGACAACAGGAAAACATAATCCTTTACACATGAGGTGACGGAAATTTATTCATACAAACCAATGCTCTTCAAATTTGCCTTACTTATTATGATCAAAGTTTATTACTTGATTTAGCCTATGATGAGCGATGTGTATAATATTTTTTATACTGTTACAATTACGTTCATTTCCCGATTAACGAGAAATTCTGTGGTTGTGGTTTTAAAATATAATTTAGATGCAGTTATACTACTTTTAAGTAGTAACATATGTTCCTTTAAATATTCATGTGAACTATCAGAGTCAACAATCTAATGGGATTGAATTATCTCGTATTTAAAATTCTAGAAAGCTCACATGTTGTGTACATGTTTACGACTAAAATATTTTTTAGGCGAATGAAGTGAGACCATTATAAATCAAAATGTATACTAATTATAACTGAGAACACTTATTATCGTCAACGTATGTAAATGATATTTTCATTGTATGTGTAATGCACCATCCAACCTTCAGTACTTTTATATCTTCCCTTCTGGTACATTGTTGCTGGAAGCCAGTACTAATTACGTTGTGTGTGACAGCATCTGTAAGATAAAAGAACGGGATAAAGCATGATGGGATAATTCAAGTTTCACTTGAATTCAGTTATTAAACATCGAGACAGTTATTCCATATCCACAAGCGTCAAATTAAGAGATCTATATTCAATAAATATAACAGAAAAAAACACACTAGTATGTATGTATTGTGTGCATAATATTCAACTCATCGTTAGCAGTCGAAACCTATGAAATTGTCAAGGTTAATTGGGTAGTATATGTAAAGGCAATAAGATGAGGATGGTAAATGAACGTATTATTTATACTGAAAAAACGCTATTATTTGTATTCAACCAGGTCGCAAAACATGTCAAGTATTGTTGAGTAAATAACCAAGAACCTGGTTTGAAAAAATCTGTTTGTAAAGATTTACTTACTATAATACATATTTTAGCAGTCAATCTACATTAAACACTTTGTTTTGGGAGTTTCTCAGAGTTTAATTTGAATTGTTAGCAGTAAATGTAGGTTATGGGTCATCGTTGTGCTAAATTATGAATATTATAAAGTGTTCTGTTGAATGACAATTGAACCGTCTCTTACTTTAGCATAGGCTGTTAAACCTGGAGATCTTGAATGTGTACCTCATGAAATACCATCTTTCAAGGATGAAACAGCTATCCCTTAAGGATTTTAAATAGTACCCTAAATGAGACCAATCTGTCACTCATATTATCTAATAATCAAACTACTCAAAATTTAAGTTTATCTTAAATGTTTTTCTACTAAATAGTTGAAAAATATCTTCTATTTGGTTCAGTCCGAATTTGTTCTCTTTAGTGACAAGTCATTAATGGAAAAAATCATCCCTAACTGATGATAATAGATGTATGCGTCATTGGTACTGTTTACAATAATAAATTCACGATACACACTACTTGATGTTAAAAGTTATCGTTATGATATCAACACTCATTTGTTTCTATGGTTTAAGTCATTCGACAATTCTTATAATCAAGCTTAAAACAGCTACCTTTTTCATTTTTTTTCAGTAAGGAATAAGATTTTTACTTTTTTTATTTACTCTACTTCTTTGATACAGTGTTTAGCAAGTCTATTATTATTATTATGATTGTCACTATCAACAGATACATTATTGATTATTACTTTCGAAAGATAAACATATTTTGGACTATATAGCTTTGGAAATGAATCCGCGTAAATGAGAACTATTCACTGAACCAACCATTATTATTTAAGCTCTAACAAAATCAGTCTTACTTGAAAAATAACAAGTCGGCAATAGTTTTGAATTTAAATCTACAAACTCATACTACACAGTATAGTTGACTACCATAAATAGTTTTTTTTAGTTACTGGGGCAATTTTTAGTTTCCAAACTGTGCAGCTTTTAACAACAAGAACAAGAACAACAACCAAATCATGAAATTTGGAAAAAAAATCTCATTAAAAATCAATTAAACAACGAATAGTTTAAATGAATTTACATAAAATACCCTTGGGTAATTTAATACTAAATGTATATTCATATAAACCATTTGAATACATATAATACAAATGATTGCTCAAAACAAATTTTGTTAACCTTAAAGCATAATGTTGTTAACTAAGTTAATAGCACCAAATTATAGTTGGCAACAAACAAGAAAAAAATCTTATTTCGCTTCTAATGTATTTATTATACAAATATATTGAGAATTTAATATGAAATGAAATTTAATTATTTATCATTTAAAAAAAAGTACTCCACCGCGAAGATATTTAAATCATCATTAGTTCTCTACAATATTCTATATAAAGATAATTGTAGCAACAATTATGTAATTTAAAAAAGAAATAATATGAACAATTTAGTTATGTTTTAAGTCTCATATATTCATTCGATGTTTAGAACTAATTTTATCACCTTAATACATAGAAGCGTGTGCAAATGAATGAAAGTGGTAAACTATTTGTAAGAAGGGGTTTTGTGGATATTGTAGTAATTTCAATGGTTGAGATCATGAGTTAAATGAAGCTAAACCATCGTGAAAACACTGGAGGGCCGTTCCGTTTTATTGTGGGACTTTTCAGCAGTGAGCATTCACGATCCCGCCTCACGGGATTCGAATCCAGGACCTATAGGCCTTGCACACGAGCACTTAGCCACTAGACCATTAAGCTGTCATCTAACAGTATTACTATCAAACTTCAACCAATCCACGAAATTAGGCGGTACATCCACCATTGTCTTCAGTGAGTTACTATCTCACAACAGACCTAGTTGAACTCCACTGGTAACTGCTTTTCAATTGACTCATGCTATCAACTATTGAAATTACTACAATGTTCACAAAACCTCTTCTGATATGAATCAACATATGTTCACTAGTGACTGACTTCAAGAGGTATTTCTTAGAGTTCTAGTGAAAAGCAGTGACCGGTGGAGTTCAACAAGATCTGTTGTGAAATATTAACT